GTGTACCACAAAACAAAACGCTGCCCAGTCCTGCACCATCTCCATGAGCGTTCCTATGCTCAAGTCCATTGTTACGGTCACTAAGTATTTTGAGTGTCTTCCAACTTAGGGGGCTCATCTTCCAGCCCCTATTAGATAATGTTCTGTTGCAATCCACAGGGTTTTCATTAGCTGATTTGTGGAAGCAGATCACCAAGACTTTCTTCCTAGTCTGTTTGAGTCTGGAAGCTCTGGTGAAACCTATCCACCATGGATGACCCTGCTGGTATCTGAAATATCAGTGGCAGAGCTTCCAGCATCACAGCGACAATGCAGCCCCCGCAGGACGGCAGACTGACAGATAAGGGTGGTGACTCAGAGACGCTGTCTTTTTCATGAGCACCTGCATAAGAGTTCAATCCAAGACCATGACATCCTCAGGCTCACACAGAGCTTGGGAGAAACCTTGGCTGGTCCATGTCACTTCTCAGCAGGAGAGGCAGAGGTGCCGCCCACCAAGGGCCGGTTCCCTGCAGGGTCCCCAGGGCTGACCCTGTGCCTGGCACAGGGCGAGAGGGGCTTGGAACGGGGCCTGACGCCCACTGACTCTACTGCTACTTCTCGCCTCCGCGGCCCTGGCCAGTGTGAGTCCCAGGCGGGGTCGGTGGCTGCCCTGTCCCATCTCAGCCGCTCGCCAGCCAGCAAGGAAGGGTGACAGCTGTTGTCACTGGATTCTCAGGGGACTGCAGCTCAGGGGATGCAGTGACCTGCCCAGGGTGACACTCGGAGGAGGGGGATGGGGCAGTTCCCCCACACACACCAATCCCGTGGGTCAGGCGAGGTGACGGGCTCCACTGGCTGAGCCCTATGCACTTTATGGTGTTCCACTGCCTGGCTTACAGAAATCCTTTTAAACACACTGCACTCTCTCCTTTATCTTTTAGAAAGAGCAGTCTAATGATTTTTGCTTTTCAGAAATGCAGTAAATGTATCTTCACAAAGAAGAGAAGAGAATTAAATCAGAAAACCCCAGTGTGCCGCGGAAAGCGTGAATGAAGACAGAGGAAAGCGCCAGGCAGGGTGGGCGCCATCTCCACACCAAGACCGGAGGGAGGCAGGCGCAGAGCTGGGGACGCGGGGTGGCCCGGTGTGTCGCAGGAGCCCATGGGCAAGTCACCTCCTTTCCCCCGTGCCGACGGGGTGCCCTGAATCCTGGAGCTTCAGGTGGGGGGGGGGACACGTGGCCCTGGGAAGGGGCCTTCCGCCTGTCTCCATCTCTACGTGCTGCTGTGTCGCGGACACACAGCTGCGGGCTTTGAGGAGCAGAGATGCACCGTCTCGCACTCCGGAGGCTGGGAGCCCCGATCGGGTCTCGGCCATGCGGATTTTGTCCTTGACGGCGGCCCCGGACAGGGCCCCTTGGTCCCTTGGCTCGTAGACGGTCCTCACGTGGCATCTGCCTTCTCTGTGTGCTTGTCTCTACATCTAATCTGCTCTTTTTATAACTCAGAAGTGATTACATTCTGATTAACATAACGAAGAAAGCTCTAATTCCAAACAGGATCACATCCACAGGGCCCTGGAGTGAGGAGATTCTCGGGGTGGGGTGTCAGAGGCCCTCAGTGACATCACCAACAGTGCCCACACTGTGGACGGAGCCTGGGTTCCTCAGGGTCAGCCTCAGGCCGAGGGTCCCAGGGTGCTCCTGCCCTCCCCGCCCCGCCCAGAAGCGGAGTTACCCTCCCGGCGGCCCCTGGGTCAGCGAAGAGCTGGCTGGGCTCACCAGCCTCCATGGCCTGCCTGCTGGACTCAGGCCCCCAGGGCCACAGTGCGAGGGTCAGCTCTGGGGGCCCCTTGTGGGCAGTTGTCACACACGGGCCCCTCCCATGGTCTCTGCACTGGGCCTGAGTGTGAACAAAAGCAGAGCTGCTGGGGGTCTCTGCCCACCGTCCTGGCTCCCCACCCCGGGAGGCTCAGCAGAGGTGGAGGGCACCACAAGTAGTACCGCTGTCCATCCTCCATCTTCCGGTCGGTGTAACCTGCCACCTCTCCACCTCCGTACACCCACCCCGTACACCCTACCCTGTCCACCCACCCCCATCCACTCACTCCCATCCACCCATCCACTCACCCCCATCCACTCACCCCCATCCACTCACCCCCATCCACTTGCCCAGTCCACTCCATGTAAAGGGCTGAGCATGCACTCTGCCTGTTTGCTCTCCCGAGAACCCTGGGCACAGCCCCAGTGCTGTCTCACTCACTGGCCCAGCCCACCTCCTCCACCTCTCCTCCTCTCTGCAATCCCACCTCCTGCCATCCCATGGGGCTGGGCTTCCACACACCAGGCCCCACCTGGGACAGACGCCCCCTCTCTGGCTGGTGGAGTCCTCCTGTCTTCCGAAGACAGGCTGACGCCACCTCCTCTGTGCGGGTCTGCCCCGGACATCCCCATCCTCCCTGTGCCCCCCGTGGGGCAGTAGATGCCGCCTGCATCATTAACAAAGCCACCTCGTGTGTGATAAAAACCACCCCCCGTGGTCACGGAAACTGGGCTTATTTCCCCATTCTGTTTGCCGATAAAGAAGCAAATCCTCTCAGAACCTAGGGTTCCTGAAGGGCCGTTATGGTTAACACAGGGAGACCCTCGAAATGGCCTCTGGGAACATCATGTCAAGCCCACAGGGAAGCAGCCTGCGAGGCCGCCACACGCCGAGGTCACTAGGGGGTGCAGTGGTTAAGAGCTCAGCTGATAACCAAAACTTCGACAGTTCGAATCCGTCCGCTGCTCCGCGGGAACCCTATGGGGCAGTTCTACTGTGTCCTATTATGGGGTCGCCGTGAGTCGGAATCGACTTGACGGCAACGGTTTGAGTTTTGGGTTTTGGATGGACTGAATACCTTACCCAAAATTTGTGTTGGAATCCCCGTATGTGTGGCTATAATCTCATTTGGGAATTGGGTTTCTGCGTTTTGTGAGTGAGGGCATCTCAGTGTGGGATACGCCTTAAACCCACCACTTCTGAGAAGTAAACAGAGGTACAAACAGAGGGGAAGACAACTGCCGTGTGGGCACTGCTGGCAAAGCTGAGGCAAGGACCTCCCGTCAGAGCCCACAGACAGCCTCCCCCAGAGCCCACAGAGACAGCCTCCCCCAGAGCCCACAGAGAGCCTCC